TTCCTGTTGTTCCCAAAGAAACACCCTGATGCTGCGTCGAAACACCCTGATGCTGTGTTCTGCCCAGTACCTGGGGCATCCTGCCCTCCTCTGCTGTCCCAGCCCTGCCCATTCCTTGGAGCCCCCGGCCAGGGTGGCAGCAGCAGCTGCAGGAGGTTTGGGAGGTTCAGGAGTGGGGACAGTGGCTTGAAGCAGCTGGTTGTGGCTGAGGGGAGCAGTGGTTTGAACAAACTGTGTCTTGTATCAGCTCTGTTGCTTAACCTCACTTGTTTTTTTTCCATTTCCTGGGTCACTTGGTGACAGCAGTGAAGCTGATGCTGCCAGAGGAGCCTCAGCCACAGAAATCCCTCTTTGCTGCCTTTAGTGAGCACTGGCCTGCTGGTGGTTTTAGAGGAGGGTGAACTCACCCATGTGGCATCTGTGAGACGCTCTGACGTGCTGGATCGAGGAGTAAATGCAGTAGTTTTCTGATAATGGGCTGAGATTGTGGCTGTGCACAAGTGGGTGGTTTGTCAGAGATGGTTGTGATCTGGCTCAGCCCTTGCTGTGCAGCTGAGGTGGCACTGGAGGCCTTGGTCAGGCCAGAGACCTGCCCTGGGTTCAGCTTTACCAGGCTTGGCTCAGCTGAGCAGGGAGGGATGTTTTTCTGGCTGTGATCTGCTTGAGTTGCTGGCAGTGAAATGTTTGCTTTTACTCTTGCTTCCAGGCCATCACTGGAGCATTTCAAATGTATCCTTTGTCCCTCAAAGCTGGCAGTATCCTTCACAACTTGAGAACATTTGTCCCATGTGCCACCTCAGGAACAATCCCTGAGATCACCTTCCCAGAGCTTTTGCATTAACCTTTGATTTTTGTTCATCTCACTCTTCATACTGCTGGGTGATTCACAGCTCTTCCCTGTTCCCAGGCCCTTCTCCAGGGTGTGCACTTGGGGCTTTTATTGCTCTGCTGTTTTCCAGAAGTAGCTTGAGAACCTGTTCGTATCAGACACCACCACCACTTGTCTCTTTTGCTGCAGACTCCAGTGTTGTTCTTCCTTGGTGATGAATTTCCCTCTGGTTTGAGTCTCTGAGTGCTGGCAGCCATGCAGGCTCCTGCAGCTGTAGGTTGGCCAAGTTGTGCAGCAGGTTCTCAGCAGATGTCCAGAGCTGTCAAGCCATGCACGAAACCTTTCCCTAATTCTCTTTGTTGTGACCTGGATTTTTTTTATGGATTCCTTTTCTAATAGTGTCCTTGTAAAATGTCAGAACTCTCGAGGCTTTTGATCCTAGTAGTGAGTCCTTTGGGGCTGTTGTTGTGCTCTGGTTTGGGTTTCTTTGGGGTATTTTTGGGTGGTTACATTTCAGATGCCACTATTGCATGCTGAGGATCCCTGCCATATCCTTGCTTATCTCCCTAGTCCACAGTCCACCCGGAGAAATGCAATATGAACTGGACTGCTCCTGACTTTCACTGAGACCCAGTCATGTCTTGTTTCCCTTGGTGGTCCCTCCTCCCAGAGGCAGCTGAGTTGGAAATCTTGCTTATTTGCTTGAAAACAGTGAATTAGCCATGATGGCTTATCCCATCACCTCTCAAAAATGTAGAAACCAGCAGGCAGAAAACTCTCCATTTCACCCTTAAAAATAAACACTGTTCCTTTGGTGTCTTCACTTAGCATCCAAGCTTCTGTGTGGCCTATAACGCATTGGGAGCTTCCTCCTTAACCCAAGAGATGATCTAAATCTCTGGGTGCTCTTCTGAAAAGGTTCTGGCTTCATGGCCACCCAGGTCAGTCCTGCTGGGGTAAGGGTGATGCTGACTGCAGACCTGGTGGAGGACCCTCTGCAGGGGTGGCACAGAGGGACACAGTCCCACCTGGCTGAGGTATTGGGCTGCTCATGGTGACCTTCTGCTCCAGGGACCAAGAAGCTGGGTCTGGATTCCACTTTGGTGCCTAAACTGAGCTGTGAGGATTTTAATTTCAGATGTGCCAGTTTGGAAAGGGGAAGTTGGGGTTTTAAAAGTAGTCAGACGTGCTGCAGGTAACCCTTGATGGAGCCACTTTGGTGGGTGCTGCACGCAGGGAAACCAGATTTTTGGGGTGAGCTCCCAGTGGAATTGTTCATCAGAGCATACAGGGATACCCAGAGGGCAGATTTCATCATGACAAAACACTTGTCTGTGTGGGAGAGTTTGCTGATCTGAATTACTGTGCCGTTCCTCTGCCAGCACTTCCCCTGCCTCCGTTGCTCCCCTGGGATCATGGTACCACAGTGAAGCTCCATGGGTGTCACCAGGGTGGTATTTCCTCATGCAGATGATCCCTGTGTGAGAACACCAGAATACAGCCCCATACCTGGGGTAGGTGGGTGTTGCACAACATGAGGTTTAATGTCAGAGGAAGATAAAGTCTCACACTGCTCAGTTTTCTATGAATTCATCACCGTGTTTGGCTTCCTGGAAAGGCAGCCCACAGACTGGCATGGTGGCCAAACCCAACTGCAGGGACCTTTGGAGGGCACAGCGTGGCTGGCAGTGCCACTGCAAAGGGTTTGGCTGCTGCTCAGTGGGAGAAGTGGTCAAACAAATGAGGTTGTCTGCTTCTGTTGGAAGGGGGTGCTGCCCTCAGCCCCTCTTTTTGCTCACTGCTGCCCACAACAGCTTCCACCTGAGGTGCAGGCAAGTGTGGCACTTCCACCCTGTGCAAACTGGTAGTTCAGCCTCGGTTCAGCTCCTTCAGGGGAGAACCAGGGCAGGTGCAGCCCAGGAAACCTCCCTGGTTGGAGGGATGCTGCCCTGGGGCTGTGGAGGTGCTGGAGCTCAGCAGGCTCTGGGATGACCCTGTTCAGCTGCAGTGCAAGGGTTTGATTCTTTAAGGGCCTCATCCTGCCACGTGCTGGATGCTGAGCAGACAGTGACTGGGAAATGGCAGCAGCTGGTGTGATCTGGTGGAGCTTTGCTGAGGAGAGCAAATGACTGCCCTGCTCCAGCTTTGTTCTAAGACCTAAAATGAGTGACGTGAGGGTGGGGGAGGGCAGGACAGGGCAAGGACAGGCAGCCTTGAGTAGCAACTCCCGGAGCAGCTGAGTCAGCTGGGCATCAGCCTCCTCTCCCTGCTTAGCCAATGTGCAGAGTTGCAGGTATCTCTGATCCCTGGTGCCATCTCACTCCACTGCTCCAACCCCCTCCAGGTGGGCTGATTCATATGAGCCTTGGGCTTTGCAGGAGGAAAGGGTTTTCCCCTGCCCAGCCCTCTCCATTCCTCCTCCTTCCTGTACTACTGGCTCTGCAGGTTCTCTGCAAACAGCCCTGCCTCCTGGCTCACCCTGCAGAGAAGTCTGGTCCTGCTCACCCACAGTGGGGATGGGGAGGGACAGGCCTGAGGTTTGGATCCCTCCCGAAAGCAGGATGAACCAAAGCTGCTGAGTTCTGCTTTGTGGGGTTCAGAGCAGGGTCAGTGTAAGATAAGCAGCATCTTCCCCATGTGCTGGGCACTGGTGAGGCCCCACTTCAAATCCTGGGGTCAGTTTTAGGTCCGTCACTATGAGAAGAACATGGAGGGGCTGGAGCGTGGCCAGGGAAGGGCAGTGGGGCTGGGGAAGGGGCTGGGGCACAAGTGTGAGCAGGAGTAGCTGAGGGAGCTGGGGGTGTCCAGCCTGGAGACAAGGAGGGGAGGGGAGACCTGCTGGCTCTGCAGCTGCTGAGAGGAGGTTGGAGCCAGGGGGGTCGGGCTCTGCTCCCAAGGAACAAGTGATAGAGCAAGAGGAAATGGCCTCAAGTTGCCTGGGGAGGTTTAGGTTGGATATTGGGAACAATTTCTTCCTGGAAAGGGTTGTCAGGCCCTGGCACAGGCTGCCCAGGGCAGGGGTGGAGTCCTCATCCCTGGAGGGGTTTCCAAGCCCTGTAGATGTGGAGCTGAGGGACACGGGTCAGTGGTGGCCTTGGCAGGGCTGGGTTAATTGTTGGACTTGATCATTAAGGTCTTTTCCAATCAAAACAGTTCTATGATTCTATGATCTTCTCTGCAGGACTTTAGTGCAAGGGTGAAGTCTGAGCTGTGATGAGCCTCTGGCTTGAGAGGGGAAGCTGTGGGTTGGGGGTCTGGCCACCGGGCTGAGCCCCCAGCACCATGTCCCCCCACATGCCTCCGACGGCCGTGACTTCTTCAGGCAGAGCCCACCAGGCTGGAACTCACTGCGTGGCTTCTCTTGCAGGCTCACAGGAGGTTCACATCGATGAGAAAACCGTCAGCCCCCAGCTCAGCCTGTCAGAAGACAAGAAAACCCTGACGTTCAGCCCCAAGAAAGCGAAGGTGGACGCGGGCTGCCCCGAGCGGTTCGACCACTGGCCCAACGCTCTGGCTACCGCGCCGTTCCGCTCGGGGGTCTGCGCGTGGAAGGTCAGCGTGGAGAAGAGCTGTGCCTACAAGCTGGGGGTTTGCTACAGCTCCCTGCCACGCCGGGGGGCTGGCAACGAAGCCCGCCTGGGTTTCAACGCGGCCTCCTGGGTCTTCTCGCGCTACGACAGGGAGTTCCGGTTCCTGCACGCCGGGCAGGCGCGGCCGGTGCCGCTGCTCCGCTCGCCGGCCGAGATCGGGGTGCTGGTTGACTTTGGGGGAGGGGAGGTGCTCTTTTACGACCCCGATTCCTGCGCCATCCTCTTCTCCCACAGGGAGCCCTTCGGCGAGCCCCTCTACCCCGTCTTTGCTGTGGCCCACGAGAGCATCTCCCTGGGGTGCTGAGTGTGCAGGGACCGCGTGCGCCCCGCGGGTTTGTGAACAGCACAGCTTGGACAACACCTGCCTTCAGACTGTCTGTGCTTCACTCATTAGTGGCCTTCCAGTCTCTGAAGGGGCTACAGGAAAGCTGGGGAGGGTCTTTTTAGAGGGGCTTGCAGTGAGAGGGCAAAGGGGGGATGGTTTTAAACTGAAAGAAGAGAGATTTAGGTTAGAGATCAGGCGTAAATTCTTCAGTGTAAGGACAGTGAGACACTGGAACAGGCTGCCCAGGGGTGTTGTGGGGACTCCATCCCTGGAGGGGTTGAAGGGCAGGTTGGGTGGGGCTCTGAGCAGCTTCTAGTGGGAGGTGTCCCTGCCCATGCAGGGGGGTTGGAACTTGATGATCTTTAAGGTCCCTTCCAAATCCAAACGTTCTGTGATTCTGTTTGGCAGCAGCTTGCCCCGTCTCCTGGAGACACCTGCCCTCGGGCAAGGGGTCAGGCAACAGAAAAGGGTGAACTGGATGAATTATTTAATTCCTCTGTGATCAAAGGCAGCTTTCCAGGCCTTGGGGGGGGGGGGGGCTTTAGAAAGTAGGAAGAATATTGAGAGATGTGTTTGGAGAAAAGGCAGGGAGGAGGCAAATGAAAAGGGAGTTTATGGCTGCCCCCTCCCTGGAGTGTTGCAGGGCAGGTTGGATGGGGCTTGGAGCAGCCTGGGCTGGTGGGAGGTGTCCCTGCCCATGCAGGGGGTTGGAACTGGATGATCTTTAAGGTCCCTTCCAACCCAAACCAGTCTGGGATTCTATGATTATCAGGACACAGCTGGAGACACACTTTTGGGAGGAGCAGCCCTGTGTCAGCACAGGGATGGCACCAGGGGCTGTCACCCCACGATGTCACCCCTGAGGGGCTGTGGCCCATGGAGAAGCCCATGTCTGAGCAGAGGGATAGGAAGCAAGGAGCAGAGAGAAACCATCCAAGCTGTTCCTCGTCACAGGGAGGGGGAGTTGAGTCTAACATGGTGAAAATGTGAGGAGCTGATGTTGGGCAGGGAGAAAGGAGAGATGTGGAATGGAGTTGAGCCAGGGAATCTTTATTTCTCAATACACAAAAAATAATTTGGCAATATATTAAATTACCCAAACTTGCCCAGCTCCCAGCTGTTTTGCCCTCAG